AGGGATGCTCGGGTTTAGATTTACTTCTTGAATGGGACAACCAAGATGGCTTCTTAGTCTTCTACATTTTGCATGTTCTGCAGTTGGTGAAGCATATGAAACAGTACGCATGATTGAGAGAGGGGGCTGGAGGATGCAATGAGGACGGATTTGAGTATATATTGCAGAGAAAATATGGAAGGAGAATTGGAATTTTTTTAATTGTGGGGTTGGCTTTTTTTGAGATGTTTGGGGGGTATGATTTGTCTTGTTACTGGAACTGTGGGCATGGTAGTACTGTTACCTTCTTTGTCCTTCTCTCTATTGAGAATGGAGGAGGATTTATCAATCACCATGGGAGGCAAGCTTGGCAAAAGTGGAGGAAGACGAGAAGGGCATTATTAGCTTTCACTGATAAATACAATAGTGGGGGCGAGAGTGCATGGACTTTCATAGAGATAATTGTATTCGCCTGAGTGGGGAAGGGAGGGAGAGAGAAGATGAGGGAGGAGAATAGGAGAAAGTGACCTGAAGAAGCCGTGACAACACCTGACCGCCCCTAATGATGTATGGCAGAAGGATTAAGATTAAAACTATGCAAACAATAAGGAGTTAGATAAACCCCGAGGGGTTAGGTCAGCTGGCTGGGGCTGTCCTAGCTTAACCACAGGTCTCGAGTTCGAGCTGTGAGAATGCAGCACCCTGAGGGGCCAGAGGACGCCGACCGAAAGGTTCCTTGCAAGCCTTCGATCCGGATTAGTCTGGGGACGTTGTCACGGCTGAAAAATGCCTATTTCCCTGGAATACCGGAGGAGAAATCCAAAATAAGGAGTTAGATAAAAAAAAATTGAAAGGACCTAATTCAAGATTTAATAAAACTATAAAGACTCACATATTAATTTTTCCTTTCTCGTATAAGAAGCAACGTCATTTATCAAAAGATCCGGGATATATTTTTTGATTTTTCTCATGTACAACTTACTATTACCTCCATTCTATTTTTAATATAAGAACTTGTTTGATTTTTATTTTGATTCTAATTATAAGATCTCAATCTATTTTGTCTTTCATATTTATCTATTTTTTCCCAAATAGTTTTTATAATAATAGTTGTTCTAGCAAATATACTTGATTAACAAGGATATTTTGGAGAAGACAACACATATTTATTACAAATAACTAACTTAACTAGTTTTCTTAATTTACTCAAATTAGTCAACTAGCTTTTATATTAAGGACCGGAAGTAGTACTATTCTAATTGATTAATTTAAACAGATTAAAAAATTAGTTAAATTAATTATTTTTCATAAGTAGGTGCTGTCTTTTCTAAATTATTTTTACCAATAATATATATTAGCTAAAATTACTATTTGATAAAACTTTTAACATCTGCGATTACTACAAAGACTATATTGAGAAAAATGGATAAATATGAGAGATAAAGTGAATTAGGATCTTATATTTAGGATCAAATTAAATGTCAAACTAACTATTATATTAAGGATTAAAAGTAGTATATGTATTTTTTTGTCTAATATAATTACTCCTTGATCGTTAATATAAAATCTATTTAACTAATTTGATTAGATTAAAAAAATTAGATAAATTAGTTAATTATAAAAAATATAACATGTTTTTCCTAAAATACTATAATTATCTTCTTTGATATCCTCATTCTCTCTCCTACTTGATTATGATGGAAAAAGGTATCAATAAGGGTAACTTAAAAACAATTGATAAATATAAGATATAGGTCATACATTTAAAATCAAAATCAACTTAACAATTAGTTCTTACATTAAGGACTGGGAGAGCACAACAATTATATTATATTATAATTTGTTGGCAAAAAAACACTTCATAATTATATTATATCATTAATAATATTTCACATATCATAGTTGTAACGGTATTAACTTCTTTTTAACCAGGACAAAATGATATATTAAAAAAGAGAATTTAAAAAGGTTTAATTATTACAAAGGGTCAGATAATTATACTAGTAATATTAAAAGAAATAAAACTTTTTTTAGAAATTACATCAATACTGTAAGAAAAAAAATTTATAAATAAGAAATAATTTATTGCCAGGTAACAAATGAAACATTAGAAGAAAGAGCTGGCGAATGCAAGACGCACTTGAAGAGGAGACTCCAGTGAGGGGTGATGACACCATATTTAATTAATCTAATAAAGCGTAGCTTGGAGAGAATTAGAATGGAACTCAATATTTGCATTGGCCATATTTCTCAAAAAAAAAAAAATAATGCATCGACTTTCTAAGTTATCAATCGCTTCTTTTCTATCATAGATTTTCTTTTAAAAATAGTTGAATTTTTTCTACTATGGTAGTTTCATTTAACTGTTTCTCTTTTCTATCCTAGTAATGATTTAAAAAATTTTAGGGTGAGTAACTTTTTGATTTTAAAAAGTGACTTTACATTGACCATAATAACAAGTTACTGGCTGGCAATAATGAATTATCTTCCTCTTATATTTAAAAAGGACATCCCATCCATTACGGCTAAGTATTAAAGGTCCTTGTTAGATCGAGTACATTTGTTAACTGATTTAACACTATAGCAATTCTTAAAAGCAAGTTCAGAAAAAGAGCTGACAAACTTAAATTCTTGAATAGTTGAAATTAATGAAATCTCATCTCTTGATGAAGAACCAAATTTCTTTTCATCCAAATAGTGTTGAGAAGATGGATGATGCTATGAGCAATGTGAAGGCGATTATCTTTACAAAGTTGAATAAGAGAATTTGCTTGATCCAAATAATGAAAGCATCAAAAGTAAAACGTAAAAGCTTTATCGACATACCTCTAAACCAAATTGCTTTAGTTATGGGACAAAAGATAGACCGATACTCCCAGGTTTTTTCCATAACACTTCCAAAAGACACTATAAACCAAAAACATTAATGATGATACTTCAAGATACCAAAAGATAGCAAAGCTTTATTTAGAAGTTTTCAAATAAAGAGGTGCTGCTTATAAAGTAACTTCATTTTCTAAATAGGAGACCAAAACTCACCCTAGCTCTAATTAAGATGACTTGTCAGTAACCAAATTTGTTCAACTCCATCTATCTTCAACCGTATAATGATCCAAGGAGTTGCCAGCGCAGATGATTAAATTAGAAGAATTTAAAATAAAGATCAACAAATTGAGAATTTCATGTGCTATTTTTCTTGGGTGGAGTGATTTAACAACACATGTCGATACCCCAAAAAAAAAAAAAGGTTGAAGTTAATTGTTCTTTGATTGGGTTGAGACCAGCAATATTTTGTGTAACTTTAGCGTGATAATGATATATACAAACATTTGAAAATATATTTTAGCTAAAGTAAAAAAAATCTTGCATCCTAATTTTTTTTTATATTTCCAACATTTTAATCTTATTTTTCATTTACATCTAGCATCCTAAATCATAAATAAGATTAGAATATTATACATAACTGGAAAATAATATTAGAAAGTGTTGGATGCATGCATCAGGAAAATAACATCATGTTAGATGTACCATAAATGCGTTTAAGTATTGAATACTAGTAGGAAATAACATCATATGCTATTTCACCCTAAAAAAATAATTTCCTAGCAAAATAAAAAAATTACCAACATCTAAAATACACACACACACATATTTATAATGGTTGAATCAAAAGTAACAATCTTTAACAATAGAAATACCAATACTTATCAATTACGCATTGCTTTAGGAGGAATGACAATTCGGGGCCAATATTAATTTAATAACACTTTAAAACGAAAACGTTTCAAATTTCAATACGGATCAAGGCCCATATAACACTTGAAATGTTAAAAAGAAATTATGAAAGATGAGTGTGAAATCTTTATGCGCATTACTTAAATTAATTTTGTTCATCTTCTATGTTAAAATTAGGAATATCACTTGTAAATTTTTTATATGTCAATATCAAATTATAAATGTTAGTATAACTAGAGGTGGTAAAACGGACTGACAGTGTGGATATAGACCAACCCGTGGTGGTGCAGGCTGAAGGAGCCCGCATTTTGTGCTAGACCAAGCCTGCATCAATTTTTCTTCCTTTTTTTTTAATAAAAAAATTATTATTGATATGGGTTAGGCTTAGTTTGAAATGTTAAAATTAGGCGTAGAATCTTGAATTTGAATAGTAAGTTATAATAAAATAATGTGAAGATTAATTTATAATTTAAGAAGATGTTTTTAATATTTTTTTATAAATAATTAATTTAACTAGTTTTTTAATCCAAATTAATTAAGTAGATATTTTATGTGTATATATATAAGTATCACATATTTATATAATTTTATAAAGACTTTTATAATAATACAACAAAAAAATGAAAAATAAAAGATAGACGATGATTTTTATATAACTACACACATAGTCACAAATATATAAAGTGAATGATATGAATAAGACAATATTCAATTGTTCATGTGGAATTTGATAGTTAAAATATTTTAACTATATTAAAAATTACATGAGGAAAACAAAAGCAAGCTGGCCTATGATGGAGTGGGCTCAAAACAATGTGAACTGGAATACCCTGCACCTGCCAACCTGAGCCTGACTTTTTTGGCAGACTCTACATATAACAATTTAAAAGATTTTTTTGCAATCTCTTGTGTTAAAATTTGAAAAATTCACAGCAAAACTTTCATGCCCCATTATCTCATATCGTTTCTTGCCTCGCGCAACAAACCCACGATAAGCTGGTTACTATCATCATTCATCAGTCAAATGACATCCATAAGATTACACACACATCTTCTCATTTTTCTGTTTTAAAGAACTTTTCACATAAAAATACATATCCATCTATTATCTCCGATCCTTAATATAAAAATTAGTTAACTAATTTGAGTATATTAATGAAATTAGTTAAGTTAGTTATTTGTAATAAATAAGTATCATCTTTTTTAAAATATCTTTGTTAATTAAGCGTATTAGTTAGAATTACCATTATTACAAATACTACCATAAAAAAATAAATAAGCTCTTATATTAAAAATTGAAGATAGTATTATATTTCTACTTAGTGAAATCCACGACAATTTCCAGCAGAAAAAAAAGAAATCAATGAAAATAATTAAATATATTGCATCATAGATACATGTATATTCATAACATCCTTAAACTAACTTTAAATTAAACGTAGCAAAAAGAGAGAGAATGCCCGCCAGCAGGACAACACAGTTTACAAGGGAGCTGGAAAACCGCATACCAAACAAACCCTCTTCCTTTGCAGTCCAAGCTCCCCTCAACTGCAACAATGAGATGAATGACACTTTTGGCCAGAAAGCAAGCACATGGACTCAGGATTTCCTAGCTAGCAGTTCACAAGTTACAACATCATCCATTGATGAAGCCGACCTTCCAGCACCTATCACAGGAACTATGTTGAAAATAGGCTCATCCCCACTTATAATAGCCTTCTTACTCATTTCGGCAAGTTCTGAAAGTGCTTCGTTGAACAAGGCTGCCATTTCCTCCATGGACACCTCAAGGCTTGCTGGGATGTAGAAGCGTAAATTCTGCACTAGCAAGGATATGATAGATTTTAAGACCACGACTCGGATGGGAGAGGAGGGAGGAGAATAAAGTAGAGAGAATTGGAATGAAATCCCAAGAAAGAAACATAATAACTAAAAAATCCCAATAATAGCTGAGCAGCTTGTAATCACAAGTTTTAGAGTAGGGAATAACAACTTTTAACTTGTCATTAGGACTTTTTGGTAGTTATTTTCTTTTCTTGAGACCCCACCCTAATTCTTCAAATAAAGTAGATGTTTTCCTTAATGTAATGCCTGATTGCAAACTTAGCATGTCAGCTTAAACCCACAGTAAAACTCCTCCCTGAAATTTGAAATGAAAAAACAAAAAATACCTCCTAAAACAGTGTCTGGCGTTTTTAATTTTACCTTTTCTTTCTTTTTTTTCTTTTGTTCTTGTTTTTTATTTTTTTGGGTGGAGGGGGTAATGTGCAGTATTTTGTTACATTTCAGGAAAATAATTATCATATTGAAGTATGTACTGGCTTCGTTATTAAGCCCGAGTTCAGGGGGGTAAAATGTAGTGTTCCTATCATATAGTTTGCTGATGCTCTTAGCCTCTTCTGCTAAATCAACTATTCCTATGGATGTATATTCCAATTGTCATGTGAAGGATGCACCAAATCTTTTAAATGTAAATAACTTGTACCGGATAATCATAATATCCATATGCCTGTAGTCATAAAAATAGAGAAGATTTTAAGGAGCAAGTATAGTTCAGTAAGCAAACACAATGTTTAACTTTAAAATATGATCAGGAGGTCAGGAGGGTGAAAGAATCAAGTTTTAACTGGTATGTTACCATGATATCCTCCCAGGTGAAAGCATTGTCTGTCATAGCTTTGTCAAGTATATAGACCAAGAACTTCGAAATTTTTTCCATATGCGCCTTAGAGACAGAAACTTGACCATCATTGTCATAATCAACCGGAAGAGATTCTGAACATATCTTCACAGCCGTCTCGCTTGTAATAGACAATATAAGCGCGCATATCCTTCCACGAACCATACATTTCTGAATGCAAGAATCCTGCCATCCCTCATGCTTGAAACCCCAATAACTCTCTGTATTTAAACCAAATCTTTCGCTTAAATTCTCAATTGTTGCCTCTGTGTCATCTTCAACATAAAGAATAGGCTTTACTTCTACATGAGCTCTGCAAAGTCAGACAGTGAAACCAACTAAATGCATGGATTACGTGATGTTGATGGCACAAGAATTCAATGGATAGTCCATTCTCCAGACCCACTCCGTATTCAAGGAATTAATTAGAGTATAAGACCAGATACGGATTATACTTAAGCTTCAAGCTATACAATTCAATGATATTGAGAACACCAAGCTAGTACAAGACACACAAAAAAAACCTTAAATCATAAGCAGCTTTCTTTCTTAGTATAAGAGTAAAACTTATTAGGATGAGAAGAATCCATAACTAGCAAGAGGGTAAGAATTCCTAAAAACAATTTATGAAAAGCTCAAAACAATACACTGTGGCAGAAACCCAAAGTGATGACCAGTCTCTTTCCTCATCGAATAACAGGTTCTCACTAAAAGAGACCTTGTGCCAAGCACCAAAGATAAGCCAGTGAAAATGCATGCATTCCTCTCCAAACCAAAAACAAAAATTCCCCCAAACCTGAGAGTGACAGGATTATGTACCTCTTGGGAAGATCAGGAACAAGGACATAAAGGAAAATGGGATTTAATGCTTTATGCATGTTCCCTTCCCTCGAAGGGGAAATCTTCATCTCCCTGAGGACAGTTTCCTGTTTCTCCATAAGTTCATGTTTCTCCAATGATGAGACGCGTTTAGAACAGTAAATAACAAATGCAATTGCAGATGTTGAAATTGAACATTTAAAGCACTTTGACACTGCCTCACTGTTTTTAAGTGCTTGTTCCAGTTCAGCACTTGGGCCTCCACTACAAAGGTTCATTGTAGGCGGGTCAAGCCCCAGCTGCCCGGCCATCTGAAGTATACCTTCATGCAAGGTTGCCTAACCAAAAGAATTAGAAAGAATTGAAGTTGCATGAGAAAACATTTTAAGATGTGATAATATCAATCACAAAATAAAATATGAAGGAGACAAGTAAGCAAAGCCATAACTTTTCAGTGTGTCTAAATTATTTAAATGATAAATTGTGATTCAATGTCCTATATATATATATTTATATATATAAACAAGAGCATCTACAAATTAGCTTTAACTTTCAAGTCCTGTCACCCTCAAAATCATCAAAGATGAAGCCAAAAAAAAAAAAAAATCCATGTTTGAAGGATTCAAATAATCAACAAGGCAGACATTTATCTAACTTAAATTAAGCGGAGTCCAGCAAACAGAGAAACAGCAGTCCTGATATTGAGGGGTCAATGAAAATTGCAAGGAAAACTTCACACACACATGCTTACACACACAATTGCATTCTCTAATCTCTCCTAATGAATTGTGATGCTTCAGCAGTTCAGCCACTGCATAGGAACATAAGCATGCCACATATAGGCCCGGAGCCGGAATATTTTAACAGCTGTTATGCTTTAACTATTTTCAGTTGTCCTAATACTCAATTTTAAGATGCAACACATACTCACACACCTTTGAACTAATGCAAACTGAAATGATTTTAGTGAAGAGGATAGAAAAACAGAGTGAATATGGGAGAGAGGGCAAAGCAGAACAGAGGGAAATGAGGGGGGAACATAGAGAGAAATAAGGGAGGAGGTGGTAGACGCAGAGAAAGAGGGAGATATCACATAGTAATTATCATTTTATTGCAGAAGATGATTTTCCTTTTGAATTTTCTATCTTATATTTAGTTTTCTTAGTATGAAAGAAACTTCAGATTATCTTGTTACAGCTTTTTGAAAGTCAACATTTACTGCTTGTTACTTTAGTAGCTTGCTTCATAGGAAGGAAAAGTGGCTTACTTCTTGAGGAGAAAATCTCCTTCTATAAATACTTTGCTGTCATTTGTAAAAGACAGACTTTTGGATGAATGATAATTACTATGTGCCATCTCCCTCTCTCTCTGCATCTACCACGCCCTCCCTCATTTCTCTCTATGTTCCCCCCTCATTTCCCTCAGTTCTGCTTCGCCCTCTCTCCCATATTCACTCTGTTTTTCTATCCTCTTCACTAAAATCATTTCAGTTTGCATTAGTTCAAAGGTGTGTGAGTATGTGTTGCATCAATATGCTACAAAGAAATAAACCCATACATTCCTGCTGTTTTTCAATACATGCTTGAGCTGCTGAGAACTACTATTACCTGGCTGTATGGCCCAATGCAACTAGGTGCCCAACAGGAAATGCTCTGCACATGTAAAACCCTTTTAGTTTGATTTTTTGTCACCAGAACTTCAACAAATGCCCTACCCAGACCCACACGCAGTAAAGGCATTTCAACTGTACTACGGGATGGGACGCCAAAAGGGCAATTTTCATGTGTTATGAACTTCACATAGGTATCATTCGCCATGGAAAACTGAGTCATATCATCAATGTAAAGATGAACATAGAGGACATTCTCCCAGCCAAAACCAAAACTCCGTAATTGTGATTCAATTCTCCCTAGAACAGCCACAAGATCTTCCTGCAAACCTGCTCCAATGAAATTAGCCAACATTACTTTTATCAGAAAAACAAATTAAAGTAGAAGTGGAACAGACTACTGAAATCATTGAAAAGATTACGAATTAAGACCACTGCATGAATCTTGCAACCAACAACACATGGAGAATGCACTCTTGTTTTTGGTTCTTGAAAATCGAAATTTATGCTTTGAGCCATCAATTAGACCAGCAACATCATCTATAGGCCCGCATGAGGCCTCACGTCTTTCAGGGCAACCATGCACTTCAAACACATTTCCTAGTTTCTCCATCTTGTGTTCATTGTCTTGTGGCCTTAAAGGTTGAGCATCTGCCTTGTTCTCCAAATGGAATGCTGAGGGGTGAAGTATTCCAACTGGAGCAATGGAATCTGAAGAGTGCATCACAACTTGATATTCATCAAGCATAATGCGAGCATTCTGAAATTTTAAAAATCATATCACTGACCAAAGAAATTTGCAGAAAATAATTAACATAAATTTAAAACAAAACAAGTAGTCATCAAATTTTTTGAGGAAATTAAAAGAAGTTCAAATTCTCAAAATCACTTGTATCAAATATGTAATTTTCTGAATAGTACACTGTATATTTCACTGAATGAGGGTTTACATAATATATAGGGTAAAAAGAATAAACCTAATTAATGCAAATATGATCACATCCCCTAAATTCCTCCTAAAGACAAGGGAATAATGATAATAGTCAGATTTTGTCACAATTTGACAATTACGAGAGATACACCTATTTACTGCTAAGAGATTCTAGGAGGTTTGGTTAAACACTCATTAGTGGGCGTTTGGCAGCAGGCTCACTTTCCCACACTCCCCCTCTTTCTAAGGCCTTCAAACATCTCTTGAGTTAGGGACTTTGTCATCACATCTGCAATTTGATTTCTTGAGGGTAAGTAGCAAGGTTCAATTATCTTCTTGTCAGTCTTTTCCTTAATGAAATGACGATTTATCTCCACATGTTTTGTACGATCATGATGTATGGGATTGTTGGTAATTTTTATTGTGGAGATGTTATCACAACAAACTTTTATTGGTGTGGTGTCCTCAGTTCTTAATTCCTTAAGAAGTCTTACAAGCCGTATTCCTTCACAAATACCTAGGGCTAGGGCCCTGTATTTTGATTCCGCTAAACTTCTTGAAACAACTAGTTGCTTCTTGCTCCTCCAAGTGACCAGGTTTCCGCATACATATGAGCAATAGCTAATAGTAGACCGTCTATCCTGTTTTGATCATGCCCAATCGGCATCTGTAAAGAGCTCAATTATTTTGGAATCTCTTTTTGCAAAAATAACTCTTGTCTTGGTATTGTCTTCAGATTTCTTAGGATTTTGTAGACTATTGTCAAGTGTTCCTTTTGAGGGTTACTTGAGAACTAACTAAACACACTAACCTGGAAGTAAATATCAGGCCATGTATAGGACAAATAGATGAGTTTTCCTACTAGCCTTCGATATCTTTCCTTGTTTACTGCTTCTCCATTCGGCTTGATTGTCAACTTTTGATCTAGCCTATAGGAGTGTTAGCAGGTCGTGCATCCAACATCCCTATTTCTCTTAGAAGGTCTAGTGTATATTTTTGTTGAGATACACCTATCCCTCTTTTCGTCCGAGCCGCTTCCATGCCAAGGAAATACCTTAACTGACCAAGAGGTCCTTAATCTCAAATTTGGTTGCTAGACTTTCCTTTAGCTTTGCAATTTCATTCTCATCATTACCTATCAATATTATATCATCAACATATACAATGAGTACAGTCAGTCTGTCACCATAGTGTTTAATAAATAATGTGTCATCTGCTTGGTATTGCTTATAGCCTTGCCCTTTAACAGCTTGAGAGAATTTTTCCAACCAAGCTCTTGGAGACTATTTTAATTCATACAAAGACTTATACAATCTGCACACTTTCCCTACTATTTTTGGATTTCTCATCCCTAGGGGAATTGCCATATAAACCTCTTCTAGATCATCATTAAGAAAAACATTTTTAATATCAAGTTGGTGTAAAGGCCAATTTAAATTTGCAGGCAAGGGATAAGAGAACATTTATAGTATTAATCTTTGCTTAAGGTGCAAAGGTCTCTTGATAATCCATTCCATAGGTTTGAGTAAATCACCTAGCTACTAAGCGTGCTTTATATTTGTTTATACTTCCATTTGGATTATATTTCATAATGAATACCCATTTGCTACTTACTATTGATTTACCTTTTGGCAGTCTTGTAATTTTCCAAGTTCCATTTTTATGTAAGGCTCTTAGTTCTTCCTTAATAGCTTGCTTCCAATTGGAGTCTGAAATAGCCTCATTGAAGCTTTTAGGAATTTTCACACTTTCTACATCGGCTACAAAAGTTTAAAGGTGAAGAGAAAGCTCACTATAAAACAAATACTTATTGATGGGGTGTTGAGTGTAGCTTCTCTTTCCTTTCCTTAGAGCGATAAGCCAATGGAGGTCTTCAAGACTTGGCTCAGTAGTTGAGTCATGGTGCTGTGTGGGTGTAGTAATGGGTTTGTTTTCGCTGTTTTGTTGTTCTGTAACATTAACAGGTTGTCTATCATAGTTTCTGACATAATCTGATCATGAACAGAATTTAGAGGTTTAAAGGGATTTGTATCATGAATGGCAGATCTGGTTAGGGTAGTTTTAGCATTGTTTGAAGTTTGTTCAGCAGTGTTCTGGGAGGTGTTGGTTGGTTTTGTAGGTTCTTTAGGAGGGATTTGAGGTCCGTAAGGTCTAGGTTGTTTAAGAAGATAGTCTGTCTGCTAGAATGATCACAAATTATCCAGTCACTTCTCTGGTTCTCCCTCTGAGAGGATGACTTGGGGTAATATGGCATGTTTTCTACAAACTTAATGTTCATAGTAATATAAAATTTATTTGTAAGAGAAGAATAGCATTTATACCCTTTTTGGTTTGAAGAGTAGCCCAAAAAAGTATATTTAATGGCTCTAGGATCCAGTTTCCCACCATGTTCGTTGTAGATAAAAACAATGCACCCAAAAATCCTCTTTGAAAGAGAGAGGTAACAAGGGATGAATTTAGATAAAAAGCAAGAAGTTGTTGTTAGCGGGGTTTGAAAGTTTAAAATTGTTGAAAGTATGAGCAGCTGACCTAGTTTTTCTTTCATAGATAGGATCATTATCTCCTAGAATCATGCTAGGATTTATTGAGTTTTATTGTAATTTATTCTTGATTATTCTCACCAAGATTATAGGAGGAGTTTAACAGATCAGATCAGATCTAATTCTCTTCTTTTTCCTATATATATGTAACACGTTTCTATCAATGAAATACATCAAGAGATGTTACCACAAATAATTTCATGGTATCAGAGCATAGGTCTAATGATCAATGGCATTCAAATCAGCTCTAATGGGCCAATCAAGAGCCTTCAACACTGATGGTGGAAACCCTACTCCACCATTGGACTATGAGACCTCACGAGGGCATGGCTCGGGTTCAACAGGAGGAGGCCTTGGTACAAATTCTCCATTGTTCCAAGGGACGCTCATTGCAGCGTCAGATTCTCTTTCGACAGTATTAATCACTCATCACCTCAATGACAAAAATTATCCAGAGTGGTCTTAGAGTGTGTTGATGCTTGTTCGAGGAAAGAATAAAGAGCAGTATTTGACTGGATCAAGTACTTCCAGGTTCTGACAGTACCTAATATGCAGCTTGGAGAGCCAAGAACACCATGGTGATGACCCGGTTGGTGAACTCCATGATGACAGAAATTAGTGAAAGCTATCTACTTGCACCATCAGCCAAAGAAATATGGGATTCAGCAAGAATGACCTACTCAGCAAGGGAAAATATAGTGGCTGTGATACGCGTAAACCGTCTTCTTTGAAATTTAATTCAAGAAGATAAAATTGTGACTCAATATTATACTGTACTGGTGAAATTGTAGCAACAAATGATCTTTATGAGGTTTATGAATGGGCTTGCACCAAGGATGAACTATACTATAAGAAGATTGTTGACCATGAAAGGTGCTACAAGTTCTTAGTTGGTCTAAATGACACCTTTGAAGATATAAAGGGTCACATTATGAGTATGCAACCTTTTCCATCCCTAGAAGAGGCATTCAACTTGATAAAGCATGAAGAAAACCCAAAGTTGCTGACCCAGAATGTCACCTCTACACCTGAGATCTCAACTTTGGCTGTTCGTGGAAACTCAAAAGGAAAGAAGTAAGAGCGATGGTGTGACCACTGCAACAAGGGTGGACATGTCAAGGATAAATGCTGGAAACTACATGGCAAGCCTTCTAATCTGAAATAGAAAAAGGATTGATGGTTGGTACTACAGAATCAGAGAGTGAAATCTTAACCACTAAAGAGCTCCTAGTCCTAAGGTATAGCCCTGCAAAAATGAGTGAGAAAACTACCCTCTCGGTCACATTGGTACAAGCAGGTATAGCCCTTACTCGTGCTCTTAGTGGTAAGACTAAACCCAAAAATATTTGGGTAGTGGATTCTGGAGCAACTGATCATATTTTAGGTTACAAAGAATTGTTTTATGAATTTCCTGAAATTTCAATACATGAAATTGTTGAGATGGCAAATGGACAATATGCAAAAGTAATGAGGTTTGGAACTATCACAATATCTAAGAATATTGTTTTAAGAGATGTTCGTTTTGTCCTTGATATTAAATGCAACCTGTTATCTATCAAAAAGGTTGCTACTCAAATAAATTGCTTAGTAATATTTCACAAATATTGCTGTAATTTTCAGGACTTGACCTTGAGAAAGATGATTGGTAATGCTGAGGTATGAAACGGGCTCTACTATCTTCAGGGATCACTGCCAAATAAACCTCAAGCTGTTTTTTCTGCTTTGACAAATAAAGATATCAAGTTGTGGTACTCTAAGTTATGCCACCCTAGTCTCCGTTACATGCAATTTAAATTTCGCAGTATTGATAATAAAATAATTTCTGATTTCCATTGTGAAACTTGTCTTCTAGCCAAACAAGTCAGAAACTCCTATTCATCTCATTCCTACAAAACCACACAACCCTTCTTTCTTATACATAGTGATGATTAGGGTCCATCAAAGTTTGAAACTAACTCCAAAGCCAAATGATTTATAACTTTTATTAATGATCATACTCGGTTCACTTGGGTTTTTCTAATGAGACAGAAATATGAGGTTTTTGACATTTTCAAAAAAAATTTTAAATCCATATAACTTAAACATGTATGCTCTATATCACTGTCAATATGCATAGTAGAGGCTTAATTTAGCAATTAGGACTCAGCGTGCTGGGCTCCGTGCCTCCTCTCTATACTTTCGACCCTCTTCTATGACCTATGGATGATTTTAATCTTTTTCCTGTTCAGATTCAAATTCAAAATTCAAATTCCATCTATGTTTCTTTCTCTCGCATTTCATTATTTTCTT